TAGGTTACAGGTAGGTTACAGGTAGGTTACAGGTAGGTTACAGGTAGGTTACAGGTAGGTTACAGGTAGGTTACAGGTAGGTTACAGGTAGGTTACAGGTAGGTTACAGGTAGGTTAGGTTACAGGTAGGTTAGGTTAGGTTACAGGTAGGTTAGGTTAGGCAGTTCAGTCCAGTTCAGTGCAGTTCCGTTTAGTGTGTAATTAGTATGAAAGGTTTTTCATGTCTTTTTCAATAAGACTTCAATAATATCATTTTATTTTTGCAGGAAATCTCAACTGAAATTCTATACCGTCGACAGAGTGTGGAAAATCTGACCGAAGACGGATACGATATACTGGATGGATGTCTTGATGTGGACAGTATGGAAACAAAGAAGCGTTTGATAGATCTGCGTCAGAGATGGGATGCTCTGTACCAAACTACGATGGAATATGAAATTAAGACAGAAGTCGGGTTGAAACCTTTGCAAGAATTTCAAATTGCTTGCAGTGAGTTTGAGAAATGGCTTGAAGCTGTTGAAGGGAATTTGGCATTCTTGATGGTTGGTGTTGGGACTACGCAAGAATTGACGCAACAAATTGAAGGATGTCAGGTAAGGGACCGTTCATTTTTTATGGCGAGTGGTGGCACCGAAGAGAAATGTTTTTCTTGGTAAAAATGTTGCTAATCCGACCATTGAAAAGTCAAAAAAAATTTTACCCAACCTCAAATATCAATTAAAAAATAAATACCCACCCCTGGCCAAAAACTTTACAAAAGGATACCATTCAGTTGTCACACCTGTCCTTTGCCACTTCTGTGACATGAGTTTGATAACTACTTGTGCAAGTTTTTTGCAGTCTAAAGTTTCATCTTGTCTGCGCATGTACTTTCTTTGGAAACACCATATTTGCCTACTGACAAATCGGAAAATGATCAAGACAGTGACTCTGATTAATTTACATATTGTATTGACATATGACTGTTGACATTGCTTTTTAGTCTTCAATATTTAAGTGAGTCATGCTTTGGAAATGACAATAAATTTTTATTACCCAACCCTTGAGTTATTTTGTTTTTCATTTACCCAACCTTTTACTCACTCAAAATTTTGTTTACCCAACACTTTTCTCTTTGGTGCCATCTCCCGAATGTATTAAGTGTATTGAATGAAATCTTAGGAATAACAGTTAACAGTTAGTTAACAAAAAGAAAATAATTTTCCAGGTTGTAGCCGATGATTTGACAAACCACACGAAAGATCTGGACGATTTAATATGGCAAGGATCTCAGATATCAGCAAGTGGAAAATTGTTTTCACACAGTGAGCTCAAAACGAAGTTGAAGTCCTTGGATCAGCGATGGCAGGCTTGTCAGAGTAAAGTTCAAGAACGCTTGGTTGCATTGCAATCCGCCCAGGATGATTTCGCTGACAAAGAATTGAGATTTCTCGATGTGTTTTCTCAACTTGATAAAATCTGTAAAAGTGTACACGAGGAGCAAATATCAAAGGAAAGGACAAAAGAGAGCTTGGAAAAGTTTTCGGAAATTTATGAGGTACCTGTATATAGTTTAAAATTCTAACTTATTTATACCAGATCACTGCAAACAGGACGATTTATTGGAATCAAAACGCTGAAATGCATGCTACACGCGTAATGATGAAAACAGGATTGAACAATGTTTTGCTGCCCACATTGTTCAGAGTTGTCAACAATCTTGAACAATATTGTTACACCCGATTCAGGCTCAACAATATTGTTCAATATTGTTGACAAGTGTGAACAACGTGGGCAGCAAAACATTGTTCAATCCTGTTGAGCAGCGGGCTCGGCGTTTTTTCTCGTGTAATGAAGCGTCAGATTGGCCCCATGTGCAGTAAGTACTAATAAAGTAAACAAATTAAGTAAATGCCCATAAGGATCAGCTGCTCATATTTTAACTGGTGCAACTCAGCAACCCCCAATGCATATTTAATCCGTTTTAGGACGCCCAACAAGAGATAAGCAAGCTGAACGTTGCTGCTACAATTGGTGCTTTCAAAGAGTTAGGTCAGCAGTATAACATTATTGATAGTCGGAAACTTCGTGAACATTGTAACGAACTGGAGTCAAAATGGCGGGAAGTTGAAATAATTTTACCACAGCGAGTTACAGTTGTTCGAGAAGAAATTCGTACTTGGATAGAATTTGATGAAAAGGTAGAGGAATTGCAGTCGTGGCTCGTGGAAGTTCAGGAAATGTGCGAGGAATGGAAGACGCAGGAAAACTCTGCAGTTCTGATCCAAAATCTTGAGGTATGGCCGTTCAAATTCAAATCTAATTTCGAATTCAAATTTATTTTGATGAAAGTGGATTTTGACAAACAACAGCGATGCCCTGGTCAAACGAGAACAAGAGTTGCATGAGAGTTGATGACAGTTGAGAAGCGAGAGTCTCAACTCTCACGCCCCTGTCAAACGAGAACAAGAGTTGCATGAGAGTTGAGAAGCGAGAGTTTGCATCAGAGTTTTCTCAACTCTCACGCCCCTGTCAAACGAGAACAAGAGTTCCATGAGAGTTGAGAAGCGAGAGTTTGCATGAGAGTTTTCTCAACTCTCATGCCCCGGTCAAACGACAACAAGAGTTGCATGAGAGTTGAGAAGCGAGAGTTTGCATCAGAGTTTTCTCAACTCTCACGCCACGGTCAAACGAGGACAAGAGGTGCATGAGAGTTGAGAAGCGAGAGTTTGTATGAGAGTTTTCTCAACTCTCATGGCCCGGTCAAACGAGAACAAGAGTTGCATGAGAGTTGAGTTTGTATGAGAATTTTCTCAGCTCACATGCCCCTGTCAAACGAGAACAAGAGTTGCACGAGAGTTGATGAGAGTTGAGAAGTGAGAGTTTGCATGAGAGTTTTGTCAACTCTCATGGCCCGGTCAAACGAGAACAATTTTGTTTCCGCAACAATGTTTCCACGGGTGGGCAAACAGGGAAACATTTGAGGAAACATCGAGAATCACAAATATTTCCACAACAATATTTCCTAGTTTGCCCAGGGCTTTAGGAAACATTTTTGCTTCCCAGGAAGCAAATTTTGTTTCCGCAATAATGTTCCACGGGTGGGCAAACAGGGAAACATTTGAGGAAACATTGAGAATGACAAATGTTTCCACAACAATGTTTCCACAACAATGTTTCCTAGTTTGCCCAGGGCTTAAGACTTCTTATCATTTATATCCGTATAGAAACTTCAAGCTGGATTTCGGGAACGACAAAGCGACTTCGAGGCTTTGGTTGAAGAAAGTCGTCATCTCCGAGAAACTGTTTGTGACGAGAATGAGCAAGAGAGATTGAACGTCACCTTAACACATCTCACTCAGTGTTGGGACGAGTATTCCCGTTGGGCCGCTGGACGATATCAGTTAACTGTACTGTCAAATCATTATCAGAAGTCTTCGACGGCGGTGGTTAAGTATTTGGATAAAATACAGAGCAAGATGAACACGATTGAAATTCCAAAACCTGTTGTGGAAAAAATTAATGAAGAGAGCGAGAAAGCCAAGGTTTGTTGGATGATCTCGAAATAGCACAAACGAAAAATTTATCTTGCTTTCTTTATCAGATCTAAACAGTTCACCTTAGAGGTCCAGCAAGCCCTTGTTGGTCCAGTGTTATACTACATGATGAGCCGGAGTACCCCGAGATTAAATCCTGCAGTGTTTGATAGAGTCAAACACAAATAAAGGTTGGTCCTTCTGGACCTTTATCCGATCGCAAAGAACTGATCGGATTATGCACTGTAAATATGTACGAGCGTAATTTTCGAGAACTGAATAGTTTTCCCGATGTTTTTACTGTAATATCTCGACGAGGACCAGTGTACTATAGGTGGTATTGTAGAATAAGGCCACGGTCAAACGTCGAACTTTTCATGCGCCGAACCTAATGCAAATGAAGTGAAACAAAGAACTTAGCTCATTAACATTAGGTTCGGCGCATGAAAAGTTCGACGTTTAACCCTGGCCTAACCTGCCATGTTCTGTTTCTGAACTACCTGAAAACGACGAGTAAAACCATTCGATTTGGTGATATATGACATAAAATTTGGCCCTTATTATTCCAGCTTTTGGTTCAAAATTGGAGTGAGAAGTGCCAAGACCTAGACGTTGTATTTAAAGACGGGCACTTGATGTTGGAGCAAAAATCACTCGGTGAAAGTCTCGCTTTTGATGAAGAATTAAAAAGTCTGGATGACAATTGGAAGCACGTTCTTAGCCAAGTGGAAACACAGAAACACGACGTCGAGGTTACGGCAAGGAAATGGTGGGATTTTACAAGAAATAAAATGAAAATGATGCGTTGGTTACATCGAAAGGAAAATGATGCTGGTTTAGGTGAACCGTTGGCTTGCATTGTCGAGAATCCGCAAGAGCAATTGAACAACTATGAGGTATGTCAGTGATGTTAAAATGATTTTATGTTCATTTTTGTATAGCTCTTAGCCTCAGCTGTTCTCCAGGAAGAATCATTTCCTATTGATAGTGTTATTATAGGAGAAAACCTATACTAGACTGACACTATTTATGCTGAATAGCTGTATCTAACTTTGCAACCGTACAAAAGTACAAACTACACACGTAAGAATTTTACAACTTCTCCACAAGATGTAACAAGCTTGTCAACGACAAGATGTGTTTGCAACAGGCTTGTAACAAGCTTGTCAACAAGTTGTAACAATCTCGTTATCTTATCAAGTTCCCAAGAAGTTGTCATTAAATTGAGGTGTAAAATTGAGGTGTAAAATTGAGGTGTAAAATTGAGGTGTAAAATTGAGGTGTAAAATTCTGCTGCAGGTTTGGTACAACTTATGCGCTTTTACTTGTGTACCCTAAATTCGAATATTGTAATGAGAGACAAAGTTGGCTGAGAAATATTTTTCAACTCTTCTAGGATATCCTAGAGCGTATCAATGTCCGAAAATCAGACCTTCAAATGTTAAACGATGCTGCCTCGAGTATATTGGAGTCCGACCCTGACGAAGACTTGACCGAATTCCTAAACACCGTCAATGAGCGCTTCAACAATTTAGAAACTGAAGTCTCACGAAAGAGAGATTTCTTTGGCGACTTAGTTCAACGATGGAACAAATTTTCGGACAAAAAACGAAGGATTTCCGAGCTCTTCCGTGGAACTAGTTGTCTCATCGTAAGGAAACAAATTCGTAGCACGGACGAAGTTCGCGATCAGCTGGTGCAATGTCAAGAAGCGATCGTTCAATTACAAAACAAAGAGCCAGATTTGAGTGAGGTCACGAAGGAAGGCGGGAAGTTGATAACGGAACTACGTAACGAGGGAATGAATGTGGATAAAATGGAACGTGAGCTACATACGGTGGTAAATAGGTACAACGAGATGAAAAGTCGTGCTTTGAAAAAGGAGGAAGTGCTACAACATGTTTCGGAGGAAATGGAGAAAATTGACGAAGGAAAGATGGAATTAGAAAGTTGGTTGACAAGTGTTCATCAGCAGTTAAACTCGGTAGACGAAGTCGAGACTGTTTCACAAGCCATTCAGCATGAAGTTTTGGTTAAGCATTCGCTTATTCGATCAGTAAGCGCTCAAGTGTTAAAACTACAAGCAACCTCGAACGAAGAAGCCGAACTAGATTTAACAGAGATGCTTCAGCCACTACATGTACAATGGAGAAGTCTTCAAAATCTCGTCAACTTACCAAACTCTTCCCTGGAAAGCGAACAAAATATTCCGTCCAGATGGAAGTCGTACTCACAAGATGATCTCGGCAGTTTGGACACGTTTTCTGAAGACCTAGGGCTGAGCCGCGATGATGTCATGGAGTCTGGGGGAGACCCAATGTATGAGGATTACCATGATGCTTTGGGAGATTTAGATAACTGGATAAACAGGTTGAACGAGTTTCGTGAATGTCTGCACGGGTATGTGTATTGTCCTGAGGATACGCTGTTTGAAGTGGAGCAGAAGTTGAATATCGTGCAAACGGTAGGCATTCGTGTTTGTGGTGTGAGTTTACTAACTTTATTAATTAATTAATTAATTTATTTATACTGGACAGCTCTGTCACTTCTAAACTGTTTCTTTCTAGAGGTCCAATAAAGGCTATCACTTATTGATCTAGCGTTAACCGGACGAAATTGGAATACCTTGAGCAAGCCTTGCAGTGTTTGTGGTAGAGTCAAACTAGAAGCACTCTTCTCACATGTGACTGAGGTGAAATTCTAATCACTGCGTATTGCAGGAATCGAGCCCTAGTCGCAGAGATGAAGGCACATGCACTTACGGACTTACCACACACTTCGCCTTTCTCGCAATAGAGAATGGCTCTTTCTCGACGTCTTCGAACAATAGGTTACAACTGATAGCTATCCAGTATAAATTTTGACTCTATGTCCACTGGGGCCTATCTATCTGTTTGTTTGTTTGTTTGTTTGACTGTCTGTTTGTTTGTCTCCGTTTTCAAAAGCCAGAACTGCTTTTTCAAATGCCAAAACTCCGTTTTCAAATGCCAGAACTCTGCTTTCAAATGCCAAAATTCTGTTTTCAAATGCCAAAACTCATTCTTCAAATGTCAGAACTCCCTTCTTAAATGCCAAAACTCCGTTTTCAAATGCCAGAGCTCCGTTTTCAAATGCCAGAACTCCGTTTTCAAATGCCAGAACTCCGTTTTCAAATGCCAGAACTCCGTTTTCAAATGCCAGAACTCCGTTTTCAAATGCCAGAACTCCGTTTTCAAAAGCCAGAGCTCCGTTTTCAAATGCCAGAACTCCGTTTTCAAAAGACAGAACTCCGTTTTCAAAAGACAGAACTCCGTTTTCAAATGCCAGAACTCCGTTTTCAAATGCCAGAACTCCGTTTTCAAAAGACAGAACTCCGTTTTCAAAAGACAGAACTCCGTTTTCAAATGCCAGACCTCCCTTTTCAAATGCCAGACCTCCCTTTTCAAATGCCAGAACTCCGTTTTCAAATGCCAGAACTCCGTTTTCAAAAGACAGAACTCCCTTTTCAAATGCCAGAACTCCGTTTTCAAATGCCAGAACTCCGTTTTCAAAAGACAGAACTCCGTTTTCAAATGCTAGAACTTCGTTTTCAAAAGACAGAACTCCGTTTTCAAATGCCAGAACTCCGTTTTCAAATGCCAGAACTCCGTTTTCAAAAGACAGAACTCCGTTTTCAAAAGACAGAACTCCGTTTTCAAATGCCAGACCTCCCTTTTCAAATGCCAGACCTCCCTTTTCAAATGCCAGAACTCCGTTTTCAAATGCCAGAACTCCGTTTTCAAATGCCAGAACTCCGTTTTCAAATGCCAGAACTCCGTTTTCGGTTTGATATATGAAGAATGACGTAAGGAATGACGTGCTTTCTGAAAGCGTGTATTGATACAGTTTTAAGAATAAAATAATGTATAATACTCTTTCCTTACATAGAATTTGCGAGAAGAACTATCCACCTTAATGTCTGATTTTGACCAAGAACGACTCGTCTACCAAAATTCAACTCAAGAGAAAGATGAAGGGATGATAACGGAGACAGACAACAAGATACAAGAAATAGACACTTTCTTTGACTGCATTGCAGATGAACTTGAAAGAATTGAACTAGAATTACAAACTGTTTACGATTGTCACGTTGAGTATGACAGTGCTGTACAGGATTGGCTGACGTGGTTTGCTGAGGCAAAAAACAAACTCAATGCCTGTCAAATGGAGGAGATGAATGGGCAAAGTATTGATCGCAAAGATCATGTCATTCAGGTAGTGTTAAAATAACTTTATGCTGATTATCTCTGTTAGTTCTAAACTGTTTTCCCCCCAAACATCCATGCATCGTGATATATAGTACAGCAACTATCGTACTATAATTATGGACAAATATTTTAGGCTCTTTTAGACGAGATGGACCAAGTCGACCTCATTAGTGAAGTGTATACGAAAGGCGAAACCTTACTCCAGACTGTGTCAGATCCAATCAAGACCAAACTTGAAAACCAACTGGCAGAGTTTGAGAATGATTGGGCAGAATTCTGTGGGTCTGTCACCGAGTGTAGTAATAAAATTAAAGAAGAAGTCAAACGCAAACAGAAATCAGATGATTGGAAAGAGTTTAATGAAAATCATGAACAGATAACCAGGAAGTTGAAACATTTTGAGAGTTTGTTAAGCAGGGAAGTTCCAGAGATGAACAATTTGAACGATGTGTCTGAAATGTTACTGGAAATTCAGGTATGATTTTATAGTCGGAAAGCTTGCTTTTTGTGTGATTTTAAGATAACAAGCATGATTTGATAATTCACAACCAGCGATTCGACACTCCAGTTTACTGTCTTTGTCAAAGATTATCTAAAGTCGCACGAAATTTCTTCTGTGGAGAGAGTGTGGATCTTTCCTGGATCAATATTGAAATGTGTCGTGAATATTATTTGTTCGGGAAATAAAATTAATTTGCCTAAACCACAGTGGCAAAATTTGATATTATACCTCGTTCCAGTGATCTTACAAACTTACGTTTTCTGTTCACAGTGCCATAAGATATTTGTTACCTTTTTATTCAGAATATATGCGAAAGCTTAGAATGTGAGAAATCCAAATACGAGGAATTAAAAACAACAAGTTTGGAGCTACCCCAGGATACCGATTCCCATAATCAGACAACGACTAAATTGGAAAGCATCGAGATTTTGTTTAACAGAGTGCTAGAGCAGGCTGTGGTAAAACAAAATTCGTTAGAGAAAGCCGCACTGCGACTGCAGGAATTGGATACGGGCATCGAAAATCTTTGCAAAGTTGTTGAAGAAATCGAGAGTATGTTATCTTTGGAAAAGATTCCAATGACTGATGAGGAGTTAAAAGAAAATATTGAACTTTGTCAGGTATACCTTAAATCCTAGAATTTTTTTTAAAAACCTAACTAAACTAACTTATAATTATAGCTGTAAAATGACATTTATTTTGACTTTTAGGAAAACGCAGTTATTCTTGAATCACAAAAGGAATTCATCGATATTTTGAAACGAAAAGAAATATCGTTAAAAAACACTGATTTGGCAAAAGAAAATGAGACAACTAGCAAGCTACAGGAATTCGTAGAAAAATGGAATAAAGTTTTTGAGATAACAAACGAAAGAAAAGATGTGCTTATGAAAGAGATCGAGCAACGTGAATCGCGACAGAAAACGCTAAGCGAGTGTGTTGTCACTTTAAACAGAACTCGTGAGCTTTTAAACAAGAATCCTATGCAGTGTTTAAGTGTTGATGAGGTTGAAAGTATAAAACAAGCTTTAGTCGAACTCGAATCATGTGCAACAACTTTAGAAGTCGTTCAAACTGGAATAAATTCGAATGAAAACGAGTTTAGTTCGCCAAGAAACAAACAGGAAGAAATTGCCGCCATTATTTCTCAGTGCAAAGCGATGAAAATAAGTCTTTCAAACAAATTAGGAAAACTGGAAACCATTTTGAGGCAAGAGAGCGAGTTTAATACTGAAACTGAAAAGCTTTTGGAGTGGATAGCATCAACCGAAAGTGTTTTAATTGTGGATTTTTATTCTCTGACAGAGGGGGAGCGTCAAACGGCTGCTTTAGAACAAGAAACACTGGCTAAAGAATTTTCTGCCAAGAAGACAACCATTGAGAATTTATCAAGAATTGGAAATGAGTTAAAATCTGCAGAATGTGGGAAAAATATTGTCGGGAAAATGGCCGAATTGTCAGAGAAGTGGAAAGGACTGGAACGAATATTTTCCTCACAGGAAGAGCATGTTGAAGAATGCTTACGTCAGCATCAGGCGTATTACGACGCGGTTGAGCAATTGTGGGACTGGATGCAAGGGATTGGAAAGCGTATGAACATTCAAATGGAAAAATCGGAGCCAAATTATAAGGAAGAACTCGTCGAGTATTTGTCTATGTTAAGGGAGATGAAGGGTAGATCATTGTTATTTGAAAAGGTTTTGGAATCTGGTGAAGCATTATCAGCACGGCTTGCTGAAGGCGAAGGAAGTGAGATTCAGGAACAGTTAGAACGGTTGACGTTTGAGTGGGAAATGTTACGAAGCCAAGTCGTGGAAAGGTTGAAAGAATTGCATGAAATTTTGGGAGAGGAGGCTTGGTTGAAAGATATTGAAGTTAATCAAGAAACATTGGAGGAATTAAAGTCTTTAGGGATCTTGGACGAAGGCCGTAATGATACGGTGTTAGTTATGGGTGCGTCCGCCGAGTTTGTAGTTGAAGAGGCTGAAATAAATCGCAGTGAAAATAACCTTGAAGTAAGAAAAGGGAGTGTTCAAGAAAGTGGGTTAGTTAGAGGTTCATCTGCTGAGCTTGTGGGTGAAGAAACAGTATCTGATCAGAGTCAAAATAATATTGATTCTATGGAAAGTTGTGATTCCAATATTGAAATAGGGAAAGACAAGAGTCAAGAGACCAAGGATTTTTCAATTCCTAATTCGAAGCCAGAGCATTTAGGTGAAGAAACTGAATTGGATAAGGTTTTATCAACCGGCCAATCGGCAAAAGAAACTAAACTACAAAATACTCAACGTATTGAAATAAGGAAAGAGACAGAAGATATTCCTAATCTGATACCTGATTCTTCTGAAATCCCGACCAAAACTGAGGGATGCGATATTTATCACGATACAAGAAATAATAACATTGAATTAAAACGAATCGAAGCGAAAGCCTTTGTTGGAGACGAAACACCCCAAGGCATCCCTGACGAGACCAGTCGAATCGACGAGGGGATCTACCCAGATAATTCTGTTCAAGCTTCAACTCCAATTAATACCAATGGTAACGCAATTGATCCTCTCGACAACACAAGAAGTATTAGCGAGGGAAGTGAGAGTTTTGTTCAAATCCTAGTTCTTCCAACTGATAATAATAGGATTAGCATTGATTCCCCAGCTGAGACAAATAGAATTAGCGAAGACTACCCGGAGAACGCTGTTGAAGTTCCAATCGATATTAATAGTAACACCATCGAATCTTCTGCTAAACATTTGGACGTTGAAAATACTGACGATAGTGCCTGCAGTGAGGTAGTTGACCATACACCATTGAGGGAAAGCGCACCAGACCAGATTGAGTTATTTATGAATGGGATAAAAGACTCTGAAGAGTTTCTTGACTTTATAGAAACCAAAATACCGCAGTTAAGTGGCAGCGAAAGTTCAGGCATTCTCATCCAAGAGCTTTTAACAGAGTTTATCGATAGAGACCAGGAGTTTGAGAATATTTTGGAGACTGGGATGACTTTAGTTCGTGATATTCCCGAAGATGAACAGTTTGCAGTTGAAGAAAAGATTATCATGGTTGAAGACAAATGGAGAACTCTTAAGGAAGGACTCACCAAACGAAAGGCAGCTATAGAAACTGCTTCACTGCTTGAGAATAGACTCCAACAGTTTGGAAAATTTGTCGAAGAGGTTTCTGAGTTTGTTTCAGGTAAAGAGGCTAACCAAGAATGGTTATTCACAGACGAAGAAGCAGGATCCATTATCGAATGTTATCTTGGAAGATTAGAACGCGAACAAGTAGCTTTAAAAGGACTAATTGAAGGAACCAAAGACACTTTGGCAAATGTGCCAGGAAAAACAGGTGAAAAAATCGAAGAAAACTTAAGTCGGGTTTCTAAGAATCAAGCCGAGTTAGCGCGTGGGTTATTTGAGAAGAAAGCAATATTAGAACGATGGTATGAATTTTCCTTGATTCTTGAAGGTGTCGAAGGTGAAGTGGACGCATTGACTGATGAATTGAAAGACCTAGTAGAAGGGGATGAATCTGAATTTATAATGGAGAGTCACTTAAGTGAAAGCCGTGTACATATGTTGAAGATACTGTTAGGAAGCTTAGAAGGAAAAGCAACGACACTTCGTCAATTGTCCACGGAATATGAAGATGTTCTTTGTTGTAGTTATGATTGTGAGAAAAAGTTTAAGGCACACGAGCGAAATATATCTGAAAAAATAGCAGTAGTTGCTGATAGGCTTGAAAAACTGGAAAATTACTTGGAAAGTTTTAAAGAACTTGAGGTTGAAACGAATGAGCTGCAAGTCGAAGTACAGCAAGCTGACGAAGCTTTGTCGACGTTTGGCGAAGGTTTGTCGATGTTCGATGAAGTTGACTCAAAGGTCAACACACTCGAGAGGCTTTCCGAAATGAAACATTTAGAAGAAAATATTCTAAAACTGGAACCGCGGGTTAGGTTGGTGAAAGAAAAAAGTTTGGAACGATTAGACAAGCTAGATTACGAGAACTCCAGTTATTGGTTTCAGGAAAATGTGCAATGTTTGGTGTCTCGTTACGAGAAAGCAAGAACTCGTGTAAAGGAGAATCTAGAATCGATTGAGAAACGGGTTTCACTGAAAGATCAGTTTGAAGTGAAATTTCTGGAAATTACTGCGTTCCTCGTGAAGGTCGAGGAGTATTTGAACGAAGATGAGGAGATTCCCAGAAATTTTGATGTGACTGCAAAAGAGGTGGCTCTTCTAAATGGAAGGAGATTTTTGGAAGAAATGGAATCGGAGGAAGGTGGGTTATGTGAATTGATGGAAATCAGTGGAAAGTTGAGCAAAATAGAAAGAAATGACACTTGGAAAGAAGAAGTGCTGCAATTAAAAGAGAGATTTAACATAAGATTCAAAGAACTGAGAAAGAATGTAAGCTGTCTTGATGAGACCTTAAAGTGTTTCAACGATTTTGAACAGAAAGTGGAAGAACTGTCTTCGCTTATGTTCGAAGTGCAAGGATTCCTTTACGGTGAAGGCGTAGAGACGAGAGGATTGCAAGATCTCTTGGAACTTGGAAGGTCTTGTCTTGAAAACGTGGAACATAAGGAGGGGACGTTATTGGAATTAAAGAACAGAGTAGAAAGACTAACGGAGAGTTTTAACGAAGAAGATAAAGAGGTTATCATTGCAGAGCTGGTAGATCTTGAAAAGAAGTTGTCAGCTCTGAAGGTGAGTGTTATAGAGCGGATTTCATCTCTTGAGGCTCTTGGGTCACGGCATAACGTGTATAAGAGTGAAATGAATGAAGTGAGGAATGGAATTTCATCTTTGGAACAAGAAATGAAGATAAGCGGTGGTTCAGTATTTGATAAGGAAGGTAAAGGTGAAGAATGTTCTAAACTTAAAGAAGATAAACAGCCCGAAGATAGTTTGTCACAACAACTGTCGCATGAAAGTTTGTTAGAAAAACTACGCCATCAAACTTTTTCACAAAAACTCGAGGAGTTTCGAACTCGGTTGCAGAATTTGAACAAGTTAAAGGCACAATTGGAGGAAGAATCTGAGGAGAGTAAAGTAGACCTTGGTACCGCGCTAGGACTCGAACCACTTGAACTGACCTTTGCAGATCTCGAAAGAATCGACCAAAAGAAAATGAACGAGTTACGCAAATACGAAGAACAACAGCAAGTTATTTCGGCAAAGGTTTCCGAATTTGAGGAGAAATTTAAACAACTTAGAACACACTATGAAGAGAATAAAGTTCGTCCTGCAATCGTTTCGGAAACTGCTGAAAAAACAGATGATTTGTTGCAAGAAGTGGAAAGTACATTGGTGGATATTGATTCAGCGGAAAAGTTTACTGACGAAAGAAGGAAGATGGTGAATCGATTGGAAACAATTCGGAACGATTGTGTTGAAATGCAGAACTGCCTTATTAAAGTTAATGCGAATAGCATGCCATTCAGTGAAGAATGTAACAGTACTGCTACACATGAGACAATTACACACCAAGGTAATACAGAGACTGAAATAATTCGTAATGTGATATCAGAAAGCCGATTCCCTGCTGGATTAGGTGAGGTTGATTATGGGCAACCAAACAACTTGGTGGAAGATAAATTTGATGAGAACATGCATCACATGTCTTCGGAAGAAGAGACCCAGGAATCTAAATCCCAAAATGACAGTTTTGAGATCTTACAATGCCAAATGGAAACCTTAGCCAATGATGAAGAGATCGTGGATATAATAATCTCAAATTCAGAATTCACATCAGGGAATTTGGGTCAAGAATTTAACATAGCCAAAGAAAAGCTAGAACTAGTTAAACAGAAAGAAAACCAGTTGCAGATTATCAATTCCCAAGCTGTAAGTATGTGGGATAATATTCCAGTCAAGGAACAGGGGGTGTTTCAAGAGAATATTATCGAAATTAAAGAAAAGCTTGCGACGGCAGAGGAGTGTTTAATGACAAGAATTAAAATGCTCGAACAATGTATGCAGACGAGGGCAATGCTTGAAGACAACATGCGAGAATGCTATAAGATATTGGAAACCGTGGAAGGCGGTAAGAATTATGATCTAGCAATGGTTAAGGAATATATTGAAGTGCTGCAAGATCCGAACAGTTGCATTGAGAATGCAAGTAGGCTGTGCTTTGCTTTAAGCGTTGTTGGGGATTTCGAGGAAACGGGGAATGTAAGCAAGAAGATTCACGATTTGCGCGAAAGGTGGGATGAAGCCTTGGACCATCTAGAACAACAGGTTAGGGAGGTTACTGAGCTGGAGGATACATCTTCAGTAAATTGTCTAAACAAAGAGCCAAGAGAAATAACCCATGAAGATGATATCACGAGGAACAGAATCCTGTCAGTAGAGCAACAAAATGTAGTTAAAGAAAACATAGTGGAAGGTCATGGAACTTTAGATGTTCACGAAAATAAAGCTGGTTCACAAGACAATATTAATGGCGTCTCAGGAAATGATACTACTGAAGAGTGCACTGTCAAAGAAATGGCTAATGAAGCTGTTTGTATGAGGGACAGCACATTTTCAGTAGAGCAACCAGAAAATTTAATAAAAGGAAATATGGAGAAAGAAATGCCTGTGGAAGGAGCTCTCATAAATTGTAAAGCCAAAGAAGAACTAGGCAATGCTATTGAAAAGGATACCTTGGATAATGAGAACGAAGGCATTTCATTAGACTATATTAGTGAAGTACCAAAAGAAGCTACTTCGGAAGAATTTATTGTGAAAGAAATACTCATTGAAGATATTGCGGTGAGGAACAGAACAGTGTCAGCAGAACAACAAGAAAATTTAGTAAAAGGAAATATGGAGAAAGAAATGCCTGTGGAAGGAGCTCTTATAAATGGTAAAGCCAAAGAAGAACCAGGCAATGCTATAGAAAAGGATACCTTGGCTAATGAGAACGAAGTCATTTCATTAGACTATATTAGTGAAGTACCAAAAGAAGGTACTCCAGAAGAATTTACTGTGAAAGAAATACCGGTGAGGAACAGAACAGTGTCAGTGGAACAACAAGAAAATGCCGTAGAAGAAAATAGAATTGAAGATGGGAGTTTCAATGTTCATCAGAACGAACCTAGTTCACAGGATAACATTACTGTCTTGGAGAAAGAAGCGCCCTTAGAAGATGTTCTCGTAAATGGCAAAGTCTTGTCATTCGACAAAAAAGAGAGTGCTGTAGAATTTGATACCTTGGCAGATGCTCACGAGAATAATTACATTTCTGTCCTTCGGGACGAAGCTATATCGGAAGAATGTATTGTGAAAGAAATACCAGAGGAAGATATTCCCATGAAAAACAGAACAGTGTCAGAAGAGCAACAGGAATATACAATAAAAGACGACGTAGTAGAAGATCGGACTTCTGATGTTCATGAGAACATTTCAATAGACTACCTTCCTGATATACCAGACAAAGCTACTGCAGATGAATGTATTATGAGAGAAATACCAGAGGCAATTGTTGTGAACAGAAGCTTACGAGAAAAACAACCAGGGAATGTAACAGAAGAAAATATACCCATACAAGGCGTTCTCATAAAGGGCAACACACGGCCATTGGAAGACAATACTGTGGAAATGCGTACCTTGGCAGATAGTCATGAAAATGGAATTGTTTCAATAGATAACATTACCGATATACCGAAAGAAGCTACTCCAGAAGAATTTATTGTGAAAGAAATACCGGAGGCAGATGTTGTGAGCAACAGAATCTCATCAGGAGAAAACCAGGAAAAACGAGTAGAAGAAAATATTGAGGAAGGAAAGACTTTCGATGTTCGTGAGAAAAAAGACAACATTACTGGTATGACGGAAGAAGTTGACTCGGAAAAATGTTATGCAAAAGAAATACCCGTGGAAGTTGTTCTCACAAATAGCGAAACCGAGTCATTGACAGAACAAGACAGTGCTATGTTGGTCGGAGTTACCAGGGAGAAATGTTATGCAAACGAAGTACCCGTAGAAGATGTGTTCGTAAATGGTAAAACCAAGTCACTGGAAGAAAAAGACAATGCTGTAGAAATGGATACCTTGGCAGATGGTAAGGAGAACGGAGTCATTTCAATAGACAACATTACTGATATGCCGAAAGAAGCTACTCTGGAAGAGTGTATTGCGAAAAAAATACCAGATGAAGATGTTGTGGCAAGGAGCAGACCAGTGTCCGAGGAACAACGAGAAAGTACTTTAGAAGAAGAAAATATTGAGGAAGAGGGAGATTCAGATGCTTGTGAAAACGAAGCTACCGCGGAAGAATTTATGGCGAAAGAAAAACCAGAGGAAGGTATTGTGAACAGAACACCATCAGAGGAACGATTAGGAAATGTGATGGGCGAAAATGTAATGGAAGATGGAACTTTGGATGTTCATGAGAATAAAGTTGGTTTTCAAGATAATATTACAAGGGTATCGGAAAATGTTGGCATTGAAAATTGCACCGCAAAAGACGTCACCCATGAAAATATTGACATCGGGAATGGAACTATATCAGTAATAGCACAGCAAGAAGATGTAGTAGTAGAAGATATCGTGGAAGATGGGACTTTAGGTGTTCATGAGAATAAAGCTATTTTACAAGACGATGTTACTGGTGTCCCCGAGAATGCTGACTGCCAAAAATGTTATGCAAAAGAAGTGCCCTTAGAAGATGTCCTCATGAATAGAAAAGGCAGATCATTGGAAGATCAAGACAATGCTGTAGAGAAGGGTTTCTTGGCAGATAGTCATGAGGAAGAAGTTATTTCAATTGACGTAGCAGGCGAAGCTACTTCAGAAGAATGTATTGTGAAAGACACTCCAGAGCAAGATGTTGTCACGAGGAACAGAAAACTGTTAGTGGAACAACAAGAAAGTGATGTAAAAGAAATTATTGTGGAAGGAAGGACTTTGGATATTCATGAGAACGAAGTTAGTTCGCAAGACAATATTACTGAAGAATTTTCGGAAGAAGGTATTGTGAAAGACATACCACGAAGTAGTGTGAGAAACCGAACACTGTCAGTAGAAGAACTGGAAAATATAGCAGAGGAACATATAACCGAAGATGGAACTTCAGATGTTGACGAAAGCAAAGTTCCTACAATTGACCGCAATGCTGATATCTCACAAGAAATTAACCCCGACGAATTTACTGTGAAAGAAACATCCCAGAAAGGTGTTCTCATAATTGACAGAGCCAAGGCAGAAGAGCAACAAGAAAATTCTGGGGAAGAGAATTCCGTTGAAGATGGAAAAGTTCTTAAAGATCAAGTCACTCTTGTGGATGGCATTCGTGATATCTCGCAAGAGACGAACACGGAAGAAATTGATACAAAAGAGTTGCCCCAGAAAGATATTTTCACACACGACAAAACGTTGTCAGAAGAATACCAGGACGATACTGTAAAGAAAAATATCGTGGCCGCTATGATTTCACATGTTGAAGAGGAAGAAACTTCTTTAAAAGAGAACATAAGTGGTATCTCGCACGACATGAACACGCAGGAAAGCATTATGAAGAAAGCACCAAAAGAAGACGTATTCGTAAATGGCAGAGCCAAGACAGAAGAACAACAAGGCAATCCTGTAGAAATGAGTTTTCAGACAGCTGGAACTTCAAATCTGATTCAGCATCAACTTACCTTAGAAGATGGTATTTGTGATATCTCAGACGATAGTACACAGGATGAAATTACCTCCGGAGTCCCCAAGATGAATATCGAGCAGAAAGAAATTATCTGGGATGAAGTTCCCCGAGGGGAAACTACTGAATGTAAAATTAACCAATTTGATATTACCCGTAGTGGAACTTTCCCAGAAGGAAATATTGAGGATGAAGTAATCGTTACCAAAGATGAAATTGTCAAGAAAGATGACATTGTCAAGAAAGATGACAACATGCTACAGAGTAATAATACTTGTATTCAAAGAGAAAAATCTTCAACAGAAACTGACTTGAATGACCACCAGACAATGCTTGAACTAAACTTAAAATATTCTGCACTGCCTTCATTCTGTGTAGCGAGCGAGGACGACACTTACAAAGAATCCAAAGCCGTTGGACTTGAAGATATCTATTACACTATCAATAAAGTTTCAAACGAACTAGCAATGATTAAAGGCATTGATCACATACAGAAAATTTCGCCACAGAACTTGCTTGAATATGAGCTACGGTCATTGAGTAAACTTCGAAGCATAGAAACGCAATTACAGACTATATCATCGGACGATATAAATTTTGATACAGTTGAAAAAGATAAAAAGAGTTTGCTGAGTAATCTGGTTAAGGAACAGCAACTTGAGATAGTGAGAATTCGGGAAGTGTTATACAACCGTGTGAGGAAAATTGAAAGGTTTTTTGAAATAAAAAGAAGAATGAAGGATAGAATTGAAGAATTTGGTGTTATACTGGACGAAGCATTGAGCCTAGAGGAAAATAATTTTGAATCGAAAGAAATTTCCAGCTTGGAGGATCGAGTAAAAATGATGGAAGAACTATTAAGCAAGGATGAAAATCTTAGTAGAGAATTTGTAAGTTGTTTAGAGTCGTTATCAAGTGAATATCAATCACTGGATCTGACTTACGCAGAGCAAATTCACGATAGTTATAACGTGAAGAAATATGAAGTGACAACCTTGCTAAATGTGGCCAAAAAGCAACTTAAAGTTAAACTTGAGTTTGAAGAGGAATTAAATAGCTGTTCGGAATGGCTATTCACAAACGAGGAGAAAATTATAGCAGTGAATATTAATACCGATACAGATGTTGCTTCTTTTGACAAAGCGATTGAGGACCTGAATAATTTTCTGGTGGGTTTAGACGACAAGATACAACGTTTTTGTTCGTATTCCATTACCGAGGGAGCACTTTTGAGCATTTTACCAAAACAAGAAAGGCAAGTACTGTTGTCGAAGGCGAATAACTTAGAAAAACATTTAACGGAGACGCGAGCGTTTGTGTTAATGACGAAACAAGATACGAAAGCGAAAGGTGATATTGCAAAGTGTAAGGAGAATATTAATGCTTGTCAGCTATGGTGCGAAAAGACAAAAGAATTCTTAAACTATACTAACAAGAGTTCGAAATGTGTTTTCAGCGAGTTATCGGACTTAGTTACTGAAGGAGAAGCGTTTATTGAAAATATAACGTCTGAGGAACGATCTTTGAGTGCTAACGAAAGTTGTGATGTGGTTGAATTGGCAAAAGAAATTCTTCAAACAGCTAAGAAAAGGCTGCAAGGATTATCTGATAAAGAAGAAACGCTTAAAAATCTTACGTATGAGATTTCAGAACTGGAGAGACGAATCCTCGTCCGATTCGACCAAAATAAGGACACTGACAATACAGAGAGCTGGACATTCGAGGAAGAAATTGAAAGCGCTCGAAACCGACTTCAGAATATTTCCAACGACATAAAATCTGTATTTCCCGACCTCGAAACTTTCCCCGCTAATTCGCCTGAGAACGAACTACTACGTAGAAACGAGTACCTTTTAGGAGAAGTCAACGAATTGACGGAGAAACGTTTGTCGATGAAAACTTTAGAGGAATGTGAGAAAATTGTGGAGGAAGCCAAGGATGTTTGTAACAAGCCAATGACGTTTTGTTTGGATGTTGTTAAGATGAAGAAAGAGTTAGCTGAGTTGGGAAAGATTTCGCTCGAGTTGAAGGATAGAGAAGCCAAATTACAAAAGGTAGGGGAACCTGTGCTACTTTATTTGCAGAGGATAGCTCTATCAGTTCTAAACTGTTCTTCCAGATGTACAGTAAGGGACACCCTTTATTGGTCTAGCGTTACTACATGAGGAAACCTAAACTGTACCGACTTTATTTATTGAAGATAGCTTCATCAGTAAGCTGTTCTCCATAGAAGTCTGGTAAAGTTTAACTCTTATAATTTCGGCGTTACTCCAGGAGGGAACCGGAGTACTCGCATAAAACCTGCAGTGTTTGGAAGAGTCAAATTGGAAGACACTTCTTGCATATGAGGGCGAAATAATCAGACAGCTACATATTGCAGAAATCAAATCTCGGTCACATAGGTGAAAGATGAATGTACCAACCAATGTGACAAGAATAGTTTTCATTGTATATTATATAAAACTCTCAACTTTTCTTGGGTTATTGCAATAGATACAACCATTGAGTGACGGAGGAGTGACCGACACGTGTGCCAGTTTGCGCGAGCAAGCAAGGGAACTGGAAACGAGAGAAGAAAAGATAGCCGAGTTTCTGTCCACATTACGTCATGTGCTGAGATCTATCCAAGAACTAAAACACATCAGTCAGGAGGAGAATGAAGGTTTTGGAAACATTCAAGACATTGAGGTATGTTTATTGATTAAATAATTAATTTAATATTATATTGTCATGTCTTCTATTGAAATCAAAATGTTTTCTTGCTTTGATCTCAGGCTTGATAACACAGTTGTTAATACCGGAGGTTCAAATCTTGCAATATGCAATTGTCTCGAAATATAATTTTGCCTCGAGAGTGCTTCGGATTGCCATTGTAGTAACACTGGACCAATAAGCTAGGTGAACCCTTACTGGATCTCGAGGGAGGATCGAATATAGACCAGCGACATCTATACATAAAGTGAATTTAATCTATACAGGTATGCTTCTGTATTAACACTGGAGCAAGCACTTAGCACTCGACCTCTGGGAAGGACAATTCATAACGAAAAAGCTATAGATAAAGTTAGTTTGTTTAAGCTTCCTTCTGTATTAACACTGGATCAATAAGCGATGTCTCTTGTTGATGGAGCTATGCAGTAGAAATAGGAGAAATAGTGCTTAATAAATAGTGCTTAAGAGATGGCCCTTACTGCACCTCTTATAGGTGGACGGTTTCGAGCTCATATAGAGCTATCCAATATTAATAAACTTTGTTTAGTTGTTCAATTTACATAAAATTATATGGAGCACTTTTACTAGATTAACACATTGCTAATACGCATCATAAGTAGATTGTCTTTAAAATATGTTTTTGTCACTACATTTGCTACGTATTTTTTTACCACAGGTGAAATGCAAAAGCTTGAAAGCGAAAATCACTCAGGCTGAAAGTTTAACAAAGAAAGTGGAGCAATTATCATCCAGCTTACCTCCCAAAGAGAAAGATGTTTTACAAAGGCAAGTTCTTTCATTGACGAGTGATTTGAAGTTGAAAGTGGAGCAACTTGAGAGCGATAGAAAGAGACTAGAAGATTTTGAATGCAGGCTTGAAGCTGTAGCGAATAAGCTCATGGAATTTGAAGAAAAGCTGAATAAAGTGGAGGAAAACAACGCTGTTTTTATGAAGGTAAATGGTTGTAGCAAGTCTAAAGCGCTCTATTATATGCCCAGCACAAGAACGCACTTACTCACGTGATGTATTTTTTGGGGGAAAATGCAAAGCTTTCGCTGTGATAAGCTTTTGAGATTCAGGACATTGAGCTCCATTCGATGAGCTCCTGTCATTTGGGGCATACCCCTTCGATAAGTTCCCTGTTACGACATTTTGCCTTTTTAAACCCCCTCTCCCTAAAGTCAATGTTAAATTTGTTTCACCGCATTTTTTTGTTGGGGGGTGGGGGGTGGAGTAATTCACAAAATGAACTGGGGAAGAGAATTTCATCATGTGTGATTTCATTTTGACAGTGTACATTGACTTTGTAATGTTACGGGGTGCCCTCATCCCTTTTGTCCAAGGATTACAGCAGCATGTTTTTTGTCCAGAATATGATAATACGAATCTATTATAGTTAAATTTTGGCTAAATAATCTAAAAAGGCTAAATTCACTTAATAAATTTTTAACTTTAATAAGAGTTTTAGGCGTTGTATATTTTAAATTTATATAAATGAATTGTTTAAATATTCTGTGACATTTTCTAATATATCAGCTTACTTTCGATATAATTCTTTTGCTAGGATCCTAAACAAATTCATTTCTATTATTACAACTGACTTATTACTTGCAGGTTTTCAATTACTTGGAGATGCAAATGAACATTTCGTTGCAGGTGCTTTTTATATTGAAAACAAAAAACAATCAGCTGTTTAAATAAATTTCTCCCACTTTTTTTTCCGAGCTTTTCTATACCGCACAAAGTCAGAAAATCGTACCACTTATAAGGTTGCATGTCTTCACCACTGAACAACCAAATTCCCAACGCCGTGCCATAATTCACATTTCGAAATAGCGAGAGGTATCGAGTTTCATCGAGGCAAAACAATAATATTTTATTAATACTGTCTAGCGTCGAGCTTTTGTATTTTATACAAGATAGCTCTTTTAATCTAGCTGTATTCTATATACAAATTCCGGACAGTTACTGTACAATATATAGATATACTTTCTGTAAATCGTCGCAAGACGTTGCCTTGCCAACGGATACGCTACAGTTCAATAGACGTGGGGTTTGCCTTTCATAATTTACATATTTTAAATTGGTTCGTGTCATGCTTTTCTGGTGTGTTTGAATGAAATAGTGGTGTAACGTTTTCGAAAGTTATTCACCGTACGAAAGGCTAACAATTTAGCACCGAAATGGACCTTAGAATATTGGTTATTCCTTTGGAAGCGTAACGTTTATACATATAAGCTTTCGCTTTGCTGTCATACGCTGTTTACAACCTAAAGCGATTAACATTTCAACTTTAATGTACACGCCGCTTTAAAAATGGAATACACTTCAATCCTGACCGCTGTTCGCTGAATGGAATCGGAGGGGAACTACTTTCATACATTTTATTTTCAGGCTTTTAGCGATCAGTTCGCGCTTGTCTCAGAGGAAGTCAGTCAGCTTGCTGAGGAAGGGGAAAGTTTATTGTCCAACGGCAGAGCAGACGCTGAAGGGCCTCTATCTGCGAAGCTACAAGATGTCAGGAGACGATTTCTACGCATTCAAGAGTTGGTAGAAAAGCAGAGTGAGTACGAAAGGTTTGAGAATGCGGTACAAGATTATAGAAGGAAATTCGACGATGTCAAGAGCAGCCTGTCGTCCGTTGTTCCATATGATGGCGTCACGCATAGCTCTGTCGAGGTAATATTGTATGTCTATGTTATATTTGTTTTGTGTTAGCCGTGTTCACGCTGTATGGGTTAACATAGCATTGTAGTGTGAAGCTTGTTGCACGAGGTATATTCATAAACTATTATCATTATGGCTGTCCATGCTAGGTTAGGTTACGGTAAGATTGTAGTTTCATAATTATTCTGACACGCTGAGTACGACTGAATATTCTTGCCTCTGACGAAGTGTGTGTTCGAACTGTCTAAAAATGCTGTACAAAACAGTTTCACGTTTTGAGCGCAAGCCTAATAATGCCTTGTGACGAAAGCATTTGCTCAATAGTCAAAGTGTTCTTTTCAAGTAGAATAGTTCAGAGACAAACTACGGCAGCTTATTGAATATACTACCTGCATTTGAGATAGATTACCTAAAACGCTATATAGTGACTAAGTGAGTGCTTGCTTCCTGTTTACTTGAATTGTTTCTGACTAAATATATGTTTGTAGGGCACGGTTACTGTAATCCACAATGCTTCGCAATGCCAATGCATTCGTGTATAACATTCCTAGTAATATTTTCATTGACTTTAGGATATTACAAATACACAAGTTCAATATGTGTCAATCATTATAGAACAAGAGTCGAATGTCCTCAGCAATTATAGAGCAGAACACTTGCCACAATTTTAACGCTTATTTCGTATTTTACTTAGGACTACTTTAATTATTTTGCGTTACTCCGCTTTCAAATTAGAATAGCGTGCAAGTGTACAATTTCATGCGATTATGTTGTGGCCATGTTGACATGCCAGAATCCGGTCTGCGCTACATGTGTCCGTTTTATTATTGTAAAGGATATAGTTTTATGTTGTTCTTTTGACACGCGCAGTCGCGCACACTTAAAGGATTTCAGTTGCGATGCACAATTGTTTGTGCATGTGCGTCCTGTAGTAACACTGCATCAATAAAGTATGATCCTTGCTGGACCTCTAGGAAGAACAGTTTAGAACTGATAGAGTAATAGAGCTATCCAGTATAAAACAGTTAGTTTAGTTAGGTTTCCTCCTGTAGTAATACTGGACCAATACGAGCTGCAGTTAGAATTAATGGAGCTATCCAGTATGAACAAAAGCTAGTCGTCCATTATGGCTAGAGTACAGTTTACATTACTAATGACTTGTTCCTTTCATTCATAAAAGACAAAGTACGATTTGATCAAAGACGTCCTATCAAAGTTTTGATATGCCGCTATGTACGATAAAAGAATCTTTCATAGTGACTTTTCTGACATTGCTTAGATCAATGAACTAAGAAATTTATTCTTAGTTGAACCGCACTCTATTGTGAAGCCGAAAGATTTTAATAAAAACCCAAGAATAATTAGTAACGCGTGCCTGTTCATTTAATTAAAATGAATTTCTAATGACTTTTCGTTCGTACAAACATTTATTTAACGACTCTCCTTTTCAAGTGGATTTTGTACAAATAGAAAACACGACACAAGTCTCCCGACCCTTGAAAATGTTAAGTCTTAAGACAAAATTTATTCACGTGGAATTTCTACAAATAGAAAACTCAGAACAAGTCTTCCGATGAAAGCGTTCAGTCGTTTGGCTTGTTCATTTGTCACAACACACAAAAGGTCATTTCTAAACTGTTCTTCCTAGAGGTCCAGTAAGGATCATCTCTTATTGGTCCAGTGTTACCACAAGATGAAACGTAAACTAAACTAACTTTGTTTATACTGGATAACTCTATAATTTCTAACCTGTTCTTCCTAGAGGTCCAGTAAGGATCATCTCGTATTGGTCCAGTGTTACCACAAGAGGAAACTTAAACTGAACTAACTTTGTTTATACTGGATAGCTCTATCATTTCTAAACTGTTCTTCCTTGAGGTCCAGTAAGGATCATCTCTTATTGATCCTGTGTTACTACAGGAGGAAACTTATTAACTAAACTAACTTTGTTTATACTGGATAGCTCTATCATTTCTAAACTGTTCTCTTTTGAGGTCCAGTAAGGATCATCTCTTATTGGTCCAGTGTTACCACAAGAGGAAACTTAAACTAAACTAACTTTGTTTATACTGGATAACTCTATCATTTCTAACCTGTTCTTCCTAGAGGTCCAGTAAGGATCATCTCTTATTGGTCCAGTGTCACTACAGGAGGAAACTTATTAACTAAACTAACTTTCTTTATACTGGATAGCTCCATCATTTCTAAACTGTTCTCTTTTGAGGTCCAGTAAAAGCAATCCCTTACCAGTCCAATGTTACTACAGGAGGAACCATGAAGTTACTGGAAAAATCTGCGGTGTTTGGTAGAGTCGATGTCGAAGCACTGTAATCGTATAACTTACATGCATATTGCTGAATAGAACGCCTATCTCTCAGGCGAAAGACACCCTAACAGCCCCTAAAGCATGCATGAACAGCTTCTAACCAATGATAAAATGATCTCTCTCCATTGTAGGAAAAACAGTTTGCTTCTCTCGATGAGAACTTCCAAGCACTTCAAGAACTTGGGCAAGAAATTATTCCATCCGTTGCAGAAGAGGAAAAGACGAATATTAACTCCTTACTGAATGAGCTAAGAACCTCATTGCAGACACTAAAGGAAAGGATATCTAAGGACGGAAATGTAGTTGTAGAAGAAACTAGGGGTACGAAAGGCTTGGGAAAAGGAGAAACTAGGGGTAATGAAGGTTTGCGTGAGGACGTGGGTTGTTCCGTGGAGACTGGGGAGCGGAACGTGATTCCCATGAACCTGAGATTTAGTGATGACAGTGATGAGGAGCATCGTATGTTAAGAGGTAGTAGCGATGGATCACAGTATGGATCAGACAGTGGTATGGGGGATTCGCTGATGAATACCCTGGCCAGTGAGTGCACGGATGGCGTGAGTAAGGCACCCACAGTTTCACCAGTAAATAACGTCGCTCGAAAGGAGCTGGAAGTCGACGACGTGAGTGATAGTGGGGATACCATTTGTGCTGAACTTTCTCCGATCAATGAGCATGATATAGATGGAATAATGATGGCATCAGATCACATCGCTCAAACGAAGCCTGAAAGCGAATGTGAACGAAATAAACGTAAACAGAAATCACAATGTACAGACCACACCACTCAGGCCCAGGAAAGATCACTTGGTTCTACCAATCTTACACCAAATAACTTAAAACGAACACCACTAAGACTTGAGGACGAGCTACCAGTTGAATATAGCGTTCCATTAGACCATATCACTCACAAGACTTCATTAGTATTAGATCAAGATACCGATGATAATGCTCTAAGTACCATAGTTAATGACAGAGATATTACTGAAGACAATGCTGTATTAACTAATATTGCCGAGAATATAAGCCACGAGTGTAACACGACGGTTTCCAAAACAAATCCTTCGGCAGTTGTTGGATATGGTCAATTGATGGAAATAGACCAAGAATCGGAAAGCGATTCGTTAGAGTACCTTAGTTTGCCACAAGTCACTCTTGACAAAGATTCACAATCACAGAATAAGATGGACGTGGATAGTTTAAAATTGAGAACAATACCACACGAAAATACAGAACTCAAAGATCAGACAAACAACGACTCCCATCCTTTCATACCCGAAGAGTTTTTGCTTCCGGAACATGCGTCCATTGATCCGAACCAACAGAAAGCCTCCTCGGAACAAGCACCCTCGGAAATTAGACCCTTCGAACAAACGCCCTACGAGATAACACCTTCCGAACAAACATCTTCGGAAGATTCTTCCGAGAATAATTACCCCCAGACAACTCGAGTTCACGATATCGACGAAGAGCTACTATTGAGAGGTCAAGCTTTGCAGAACGTCTACACAGACGAGGGGGTGGGGGAAGAGCAATACTTGGTGAATGGTACGGACTACCCCCTTGTCTCGTGTGTCCCACCTCCCATGAAGACCGTGGAAGAATTCGTAGAAGAACCGGATGTCTTGTTTCAGAGATTGGTGGATATCGAGGTGATGTTAAGACCACAGGGAAAAGACGAAGAGAATCTCAAGTCAGCGCTTCTTAAACATGTCGTAAGTAATATTTAACAATTACTCACTGAAGTTGAGGTGAATAGTGCAAGAATATTCAAGCGAGCATATACCACAACAAAACAAAAATGACCAAAAACAACAAAAATATTTTAAATTCAGAACAATTTGTATTTTTGCTCCCGTAATAGTTGTAAACAAAGCAGTATTCACGCGCTTTTAGTAATTTTATTCATTAGAAAATTATTTAAAAGCACAGTTCAGCCTTTTGAATGATGGTTTTTAAGGCTATGAAAATCACTTAACTAGGAAAATCAATTCGGCATAATTCAAGATCAGTAAACTCGATGTTTTTAACAATAAAAATGTTTTAAATGTTAAAAACCTTAAGGTATATATGGCCTTAACTCTTAAGCCAAAAGCATGGCCATGGGCTTTGTGACGTACTACACAAAAAGTACTACGTACTACGGGAAAGCTGTCATACATTGACCAGTCAAAATGACCGGCAAGGTAAGAATTAGCCATTCCGAAGTTGATGAGAGGACTGGGGACGAATGTTAAAAAGTGCCCAAATTAAGAAATGAACCAAATCACTACAAAGACCACCTCAAAATTAGTAAGTATACAAAGTTTGAAGACGTTTACATGAATACCCTTCGAATAATAAGCATTCACGAAAATCATGATATTTACTATGAAATGTACTGTAATTTTTGTTTTTTGGGACGCGCGTCTCAAAAACAATCTTTTAATCAGTAATTTCACAATATTCGAAAACTTATTACTGATTCGAAGGGTATTCATGTAAACGTCTTCAAACTTTGTATACTTCCTAATTTTGAGGTGGTCTTTTTAGTGATTTGGTTCATTTCTTAATTTGGGCACTTTTTAACACTCGTCCCCAGTCCTTTCATCAACTTCGGAATGGCTAATTTGACCGGACAACTTCGCATTCTGGCCGGACATTAGAGAGGTTAAGATACCCCGGTTCCGGTCTACGGGTACGAGTATCGCCATTTTGTTTACCAATTTTTGCTGATGTCAGCATTTTTACCCGTAATTTCTATCCGTTTCCCCGCGGTAAACCATGGCTACACGTAAAAGAGAAACGGGTACGGGTGTTTTGTGTTTACTATTTGTGGGCCGTTTAAATAGTAAAAATTTTCAACATCTTACCCAAATAAATAATGCACTTATGCTTGTCAAAGTTTTCAACAATCTATGGCGAACCTCAACAGCGAAAGTTGCCATTCTCTGATAGGTTTACGCACGCCGGAATATCTTGGATTTCTTAAGTTACAAGTCGTTCCCCGGTTTACGGGTACGGGTACGTGTATATTACCCGTACCCGTAAACCGGAACCGGGGTATCTTAACCTCTCTAATGTCCGTTGATCGGCCGTTCGCGTCCTGTAAAATACTCACTGACCTAGACCACATAAATGTCATTGTTCCTTAGGCACTCTGTGTTGAGATGAAAAACATCCAGAGTAAGATCAACGTCATCAACAGACACGGTCAGTACTTCATGAAAAAAGCACGAAGTGGCTTACGCGAGATCTTAGAAGAGAGACTGAAAGCTCTGAACAATCAGTGGGATAAATTGCAGGACCACGCTTCAGCTCGCCAGAAAGACCTGGAACAACTTGTTCAAGATAAGGCTGATAACGAAGTCTTGTCTGGTGAAGACAGTTCGTTGAACGCTCTTCGGAATAATACAGCTTTGCTCAGTTCGTTGTATTTTAATACTGAGAACGAGGTGAGTGGAAATATAGCTCCCCAGCCCCCTTTTCATTGTTGAAGTTGCATTACACACGTAAAAGTCTGACAACTTGTCAACAAGATGTGTTCGCAACAGACGTGTACCACCAAGCTTGTCAACAAATTGCAACAACGCTGTTATTTTATAAGTTGCTACAAGGTTGTCACTCACAACTTGTTGACAAATTGTTGAATTGCAGGGCGATAACAAGTTGTTGGAATAACTTGTAACAAGTCTGTTGAACTCAACAACCGTGTAGCAAGTTGTCAACAAGCCGTTGACAACTTGTCAACAAGCTGGGAACACGCAGTGCGAACACATCCTGTTGACAAGTTGTTGAAACAGCATTGCTACAAGTCTGCTGCAGGTTTAGTACAACTTGTGCGTTTTTACGTACGTAGGCTGCACTTAAGGTGGCTTACCATTGACAACAAAGTTTGAAAGCCCTGAATATGGCATTATTTACTGTAGTACTTACTTAGTAACTTAATAATTAACGTTCTCCTCTTCTCCGTAATTTTTTTTTAATAATTGCGAAACTTTTTTCATTTCTTATTAAGGATATTAAGCGATTACTGAACAGGCTTGGTTTATTCTCTGGCGAGGAAGACGATAACGAATCACAACATCATTTTGATGACGATTACCTGGACTACCAATCAACTTTCCACGATCTATTTGAATGGTTAACTGCCACTGAAGAGGAAATTCAGAGTGTTTCCACTTCGGAAAGTGAAGTGAAGGAAATAAGACAACGTGTGAAACGTCTGCAGGTAACAGTTATGGCGAGGAGAATTTACATTAAGGGCCTGTTTACATTGAGGTAGGGTAACCCTACCACTATGGTTGCCCTACCAAGAGGGTAAAAAAATAGCGAGTGTTTACATGAGATATGGTTAACCTACCACAAGGGCTATGTTGCCTAGGTAAAGATATATTTAGGGTACATGTATCTGCGCAACTAAACTTAAGTTAGCACTGAGAAAAAAATGTGAAATCCATACTATGAGATTTATATCTATAGTATGAAAATATACAACTTTCATGGATAATCAAAAATCCATTCTATTTCCAATAAAGGTCCATACAATTTCCATTCTATGAATTTTCAAAAATTTTTCCAGTGTAGTTTATTTATACTGGATAGCTCTACCAGTTTTAAAACTATTCTTCCTGGAGTCTAGTAAGGATCAACAGGTGAAAACCTATAAACTAAGCTAACGTTATCTGTACTGAATACAGTAGTTCTATCTATATATATATTTTACCTTTAAAAAGGATTTATGCCGACAAATTCAGCAAAAGAAACCGCAACTCAATGAATTGATCAAAAGATCTGAAAAATTCGTCGATGTTTCCAGCGAGAACAATGAAGAACACGTGACTGAATTACGCCATCTCTGGCATGACGTCATGCTCAAAGCTTGTTCGAAATTACGAGATTTACAGAACGTACTCCATGGTATCATGATGAAAGGATTGCATACAGAAGGATTTTCGAAAAGTTTGTCCGAGTGTCAGTATGATGTTAGAGATTTGTTGGAAAGGTTGCAAGAGTGTTGCAGTGTTGATGCGAGTGATGACCCGACAGTTGCTGTGGCACAGTATCAGGTATGGAAGTATTTCTGGCCAATGGACAACTTGCATGTTAGACTAAATTTTAATCTAAGTAAAGAGAAGGGAATCAAACACCACAGCTAAAAAGAGCATAATGAAGAAAGCTTGGAAAATATAGTCTTCCAAAGTTTGCATATTTTGTATATGTTTGTATTACGTGCGGAAATTGGTACCATTTTCGGCTCAAAAATAGTTTTAGTATTTTCCGTATTTTACAACATTTCGTAACCAAATTTTGCAATTTTACTAATTTTAATAAGTTCTTTACGGGAATTTACTTTTTTTGCCTAGATCAAAAATTAGTCTAACATGTAAGTTGTCTATTTGTTGCGCTTTGTGTGCTACCGCAGTAATCTTATGAAGACACTCGTACGTTTTTGTAAATACTGAAAAACCCCCTTAGTCAAGATACGTCAAGATTCACGTCGTCCTTTTTGTAAATGCTTTATACAGTACTACCAATCACGATTATAACTAGCCAACTTTATCACTAACTTTCTGTCCAAGTATTTTCTATCAAAAGGTGAGTAATCCCAATACCTGATCGTTATTTTCCGGTGCGAAAAATTAACGCTCAAAATATAGTTTCACAGTCTATCATCAGATGATTTTATCATTTGGTGAAAGTGTTTTCGAAAGAAAAATAATTTTTTTGTCGTCTTTGATTCAGGTGTTTTCTTCCGAAGCTGATTTGTTAACAAGAGTTCTGGATGGCTTGAAAACGTCTTCACATTATGCACAAAACTCCGCTGCTGTCAACGAACTATCGAAGCAAATCGCCGATACGAAAAGCCAACTTGAATCATGGCGCATAAGTCTAAACGAAGCTGGAGCTTTGGAAACTATTATGGTAACTGCTTCACTAAAATTCTGCAATCAATTCTATTAACCCGTCACAAGACTACTACATAAAATGAAAAGAAGAGCGCTAATCCAGCTTCGAACAAGCGGCCCCAGTTTAAACCTTATTATTAAAAATTAAAATGTATTTTTATAAATTGTCCATAACCGTTGTTTTGTAGCGTTTTACAACGGTTGAAAAATTGTAAAACCGTCCCCAATATTTAATGAAACGCGTTCAAAATCCTTTCGATTTCTCCTGTTAGACAGTAGATCCTACGCAGGAGAACGTTCAACTTGGTGAAATTGCAGAGGAGCCAAGATCACCTCGAAACAGACCCAAGACATGGCCCGAGCATGCTAGCCTGCTGATACAAGTCATGGAAGAAGTGAAGAAGTTTGAAAATTGGTTAAAATCTGCCGAGGAGAATGTTGAAACGTTCATTGGTATCACTGTCCCTCAGACATTGAACGAAATGAAATCGAAGCTAAAGGAAGTTCAGGTTTGTTCCGCGAGTACTTCAAGTTTATTTTTTACGCACAGTTAAAAATTATTAGCTTTGGAAAATTTTAGCGCCTTACGATTCCTTACGACTTGTGGAATGTGAGCCTATTAGGCTATCCACTCGTTCCTAGCGTCTTTTTTCTACAAAGAGCTTGAGGAAGTTGTTAGACGATTAGAGTGAATGTTATTACTTCTTTCAAATTATTAAAGTCTATTTCGGAATCTAATGAGCTTCGATATTCTAACCACAGATTAATATTCTTAATCTGTGTTCTAACGGATATTTATTTTTTCAACAGCTTATAGCCAGAAATATACACAACAAAATCACCGAAATGGAATATTCCCTGAACAGCCTAACTGGTTCAAAAGACGAAACAGAATACCCCGAAGTCTGTGAGAAATGTCAGTCTTGTTTAACTCGCGCGAAAGAACTACAGACTCGATCAGACACACGAACCAGCGAACTGAAAGATATTCGCTTCCAATGGGAACTATTTGAAAGCCGTTTCTATGAAATGCTTCACTGGCTTGAAAAAACTCGAGCGAATCTTATTTTGCCGTTGAAAGAGAAAGACGAAGATAGCATCGAATTTGTTTTAGGGAAATTACTCAAAGTTCGTGAAATTGAAAAGAAATTATCAGAAAAGGTATATATAAATACTGTATATAAACTTCCGTTCGTTTCATATCCGAAATTAAAAGAAAAGTAATTTCTGGATCTTCAAAAAAAATCCTTTATCAATGCATGTTCTTAAAGAAAGATATGTAAAGAAATTCGGAAAAGACATTTGTGGATCAGAATTGTACACGTTAGTAGTTTCATTTTGCTCAAAACACAATATTTTTTCAAAAATAATTGCAAGATAGGTTTACTTCAAAAAAAATCCTTTATCAATGCATGTTCTTAAAGAAAGATATGTAAAGAAATTCGGAAAAGACATTTGTGGATCAGAATTGTACACGTTAGTAGTTTCATTTTGCTCAAAACACAATATTTTTTCAAAAATAATTGCAAGATAGGTTTACTAAAGCAAAATCCGCGCTAAAAACGTCAATAAATATCGGGCTGTTGTGATTTTGCTGTTACTCGTAATGAGCGTCAAGATGGCGCCATATTGGGGGTAAAGGTGGTATATTGTGATTGTCATATCTTCTTAACGAGTTCGGTGACCCCGACTTTTTTTGTGTGATTTTACTTTAAGTATATCATAAACTCCATGCCTGGGAAGTTTCAGCACATTCTCATTTCGGGAACAATTACTGCGGAATTACCTTAAGTAGGTCGCATGCGACAGTTTTTGGCAAACGTTGTGTAGTCTAAATCAGCCTCAAAGTGGATTAGTTTTTGGGGAGAAAAACTATCGAACACGGGAGAGAACCGACCACAACTCTACTTCATGAGTTTTCAAGTAGATCGAATGTGGGTACGGCAGTCACCTGTCAGGTAACAATACCCTCCCCTCGACCTTCAATAGCAGGTGTGACTGAGATTATATATTGATTTAGTTTTTTTGTTGTCTTATGTCGAAAGGTTACGGTAAAAGACGACGTTCTCCGACAAGGCGAACACGTCCACGGGATGATCGAGGCCGCCGGAGTGAATGTCAAAATTGAACAACTAAGGGAGGAGTGGGTGGCAATTGAAAGTGACCTCAGTAAGGAACGTGTAAGACTTGAGAGAATTATGAAATTATGGAAAGATTATGATAGGAAACAGGAGGAAATGTATGAATGGCTGACTGCGATATTGTCCTCACTTCGTGCACTAGAACACCAGGATAAAACCATTGATGTAGTGAAGAGTCAAATCTCGTTAATCCAGGTCAGTAACTTAACACTAAGAATGAAAAATACGTCGAGAACCTCGACGTCTCGAGCGAAGGTCATTCGTTGGGAAGTTAGTGACCAAATATTCGCATCTCCGTCCTCATCAAGTTTTGTTCTTTAAAGGGAAATGGCAATATAAATTTTTATTTTCGCACTTGAAAGAACTTTTGAAACTATATATTAACTTCTTTTACCGATTTTTCATATCTTGCTCATTCTTGTTCTTGAAATATTTTCACTTGAAGTAATGAGATGTTCGCCATCTTGGATACATTTTTTATCTCATTAACGGTTGCTTTGGTAACGTCACAACAGGAATTAACCATATAAAAGTATTCGTTGCTGACCAAATATTGATTGGTAGATGTTTTAAAGGTTTTGAGTGATCTTGATATTTCGAAGGGCAGACAGAGTATAGTTTTGAGTGCAAAATGATTAGTGTTTGTCTAGATAAAAATATTGCGTGACCCCTGTTGTGACGTGACATGCATATCTACAAAAATTGAAGATGGCGGACATTTCATTCCTTGCGATCAAACTATTTGTAGAAGTAAGCAAGATATGAAAAAACTGTAAAAGAGTATTATATACAGTCTTAAAAGTTCTTTCAAATGAGAAAATAAAAAAATATATTGCCATTGCCCTTTAATGGATTTGATCTCTTTTTTGTAGAAACACCACGACGAAATAGATAACCATTTAATGTTAAAAGAATCCGTCGACCTTTCCTTTCATTTTCTCATCGACAACATCCAAGGCGACGTGGAACGCCTTCAACAGAAACAACAAAAGTTAAACTCACATTGGCAGGAACTACAGACTTTAGTCTCCGACCGTTTTGATGAACTGGTCGCAGTGGAGTGGGAACTAGAACGAGCCAGCATGACGGCGAGTGTCGATGAGTTGAATGGTTGTGTTGAAGTCGCGAGGGAATTGGTACTAGTGCAGATTCCACGAATAGGAAGCTCGTCTTTGGAGGAAATTAAATCATTGGTAGCTCGATATCAGGTAGGATTTGGATTTTATACTGTAAGTCACTTATCCAGTCCTAGGATAAATTAATTGGACCAGCACATGTGGTGTTGTGCTCACTACGCTTGCGTTTTAAGCTGGGAGACCCGGGTTCATCCTTGGTCGGACCTCTACTCAAGGTCTTAAAATAACTGAGGAGAAATAGACAATTCCCATTATAGACTAATTTTAGAACTAGGCAAGGAGATGCAAATAAATCACCACAGCTAGAAACAGCATACTAAAATTGGTAAAATTTCAAAGTTTGCTTGCGAAATGTTGTAAAATGCGGAAGATATACCCTTGCAAAGTTTGCAAATTTTGTGTGCTTTTGTATTGCGTGCGGAAATTGCTACCACTTTCGGCCTAAATGTGGTCGGAATTTCCGCACGCAGTACAAAAGTATACAAAATTTGCAAACTTTGCAAGGCTATACTTTTCGCATTTTACAACATTTCGCAACCAAACTTTGCAATTTTACTCACTTTAGTATGATCTTTCTAGCTGTGGTGATTTATTTGCATCTCCTTGCCTGGTTTTAAAATTAGTCTATAATGGGAATTGTCTATTGACATGAGTAAGTGGTTAGACTTTCGCGTCTTCTCGGATATGGACGTTAAATCGTAGGTACCTCAGATCCCCTTTCAATTGGGAAATCCGCTCACCAATGAGGGAAAAACTCAATAAACTCAATGAAATGCCGTCCAGGTTTAAAATATCGTCACTGGCAACTTGAAATACATAAATGTTTTCACAGAATGGCAAACGGGAGTTGCGTTCGAAACAAGAAAAGCTGGAAGTATTGAGGCGAAAATCTAGGAATGAAAATATGGAGGAAGAAAAGTGTGTCACCTTAAGGCAATCGATCGCGTGGCTTGACGAGGATTGGAAACAAGTGACGTCATCACTGAACGAAAAGGAAGAATCTCTTAAGATCTCGTTAAATAAGTGGATTGATTTTCAGCGGCAGTTGACACATTTGGTTGACACGGACTCGTGGTTTGCAACAAGGGAGGCAGCCATGTCGAAATATCAACATATTTCCACTGAGAAAGATAGAAACATTGCTTTGGAAGATGTTAAGGTGGGTGTGCGATGTTACTTTTGGAAAAGCCCACTTTGCTGTGGTATGTGTCTGAACTACTTGAAAGAAATTAAATTAAACTTTTTTCAGGTAGTTCAAACACAAACTATGGCACCTTATTTTGTATTATCTAACTTTATAGTTCATTTAGCATGTTGTAATTCATTCATTTGTTTTTTCCATTCTCAGGCAATGAAAGGCTTCCTGGTGACGCAGAAAATATCGGTAACAGCGTTTGTAGAGTCTGCCCGAGTCCTTCTGACCGAGGGCCTTTATGACTCTGAGGAAATAGAAGGGATTCTAGGGGACATTGAAGAACGATGGGTGGATATAAATACGAAAGTCAATGACTGTGAAGAATGGTTGTCTGAAATGACTACCAAGCATAAATCATGTCGGGACTCGATTGGATCAATTATGGCATTCTTGGACGAAGCTGAGCTAATGCTGCAGCCTTTGGCTTCGTTTGATGGTGGTTTTGACAGTTTAGTTTCGCAGAAGACCAAATTGTGTGTAAGTGGTTAGCTCTATCAATTCCAAACTGTTTTTCCTAGAACTAGAAGTACAACAATGACCATTCCTTATAAAGGCAAGGTTACTACAAGAGAAAACTTGAAACTAACTTTATTTATAATGGTTAGCTCTATCAGTTCTAAACTGTTCTCCCTTAGGTCCAGTAAGGGCCACGCCTTATCGCTCCTGTGTTACTACAGGAGAAAACCCAAGTCCTGGGAAAAAACCTGTGGTGTTTGGTAGTGTTGAACTGGAATCACTCTCACATGCGAATGAAGTGAAATTATAGTCACACAACTGTTGTAAATGTGGAAGGTTGACACAACACGGCGAGGATAGGCTTCGAATATCTAGTATGATAATTCCTTTTATTTAATTTCAGAACCTTGAAACTGAGTTGAACGACCTCCGCTCGACTGTGTACAACCTCAACAGTATTTTGGTCGAACTGAACAACGTCTGCGATGAAAGTATAATTTACGAACTTGACAAGGACATACAGGAACTAAACCAGAGATATGGCAATATTACCGAGAAAATTAGGAATCACAAAGCACAAATTGACCAGATGATTTCGGCTTGTCAAGCGTTCGATAAAGACTGTGCAGAGATGTCAGCCTGGCTTGAATATCAAAGTGATGTTTTGGATGGAGATAACGAAGAAATTGAACCGCCATTGTTGGCTTCAGAACTTGCCCAGTTAAAGGAATGTGAGGTTAGTTGAATTTCGTAAACGTAGTGGTCCAGTGTAGGTAGTAATCTACAATAAGCTGCCATGATTTATTTTGAAGTTTCCAGCGAACTTCCAGAACTTGCCCAGTTGTAGAGCGAATTGTATTACTGAATCCAAGAAGGCACGTTTCAGTTCAAATCTGTACGAGAATTTGTTACAGTTAATACAGAATAACTTGGCGACAATAACATTGGTTGTTTTTGCTATTTATTTTAGCAACTGCAAGAAGACTTCGACAGACAACGGGAATTCTTGGAAACTGTCAGAAATCGCGGTCAAGAATTGAAATCCAAAATAAAACAAGGCAATGTCTATGTGTCTCCGAAACTGACGAAACTCGAGCGAAAGTTTAGTGACTTTGCGATTGCTTTGAACCAAAAACAAGAAAGGTAGATTTCTTTTATAAAACTTTTTAATGAATGAATGAATGACCCTTGTATTGTTTCCGTCCTCTTAATACAACAGCATATTTGCTATGATAATATTTTAGATGGTCTTAAACAAAAAATGTTGGTAGCAAAGCTGCTAACTTTATTAAGCTTCAAAACAGAACATTGTGGAACTGGTAGAACTATCAAGTATAAATAAAAATCAGTGTAGTTTATTTAGGTTTAATAATGTCATTTTTTTACGTCGTTCCAGTTTGAAAACGAAAACCAGTTCTTGGTTGGAATTCTGTGATAAATTACAAGCTCTGGATGAACGCGTTAAGGAGAGTGAGAAACATGCATACACGACTCGTTATTGTGATACAAAAGAGCATTATAGATTGCTACAGGTATGTTTCAACACGCGTCCTAAGGGACAGTCGTATACAACGACTATGAATTCTAGTAAAGTCGCATGATCAATTATTTTATGCGCTCAGTTTGAGTATGACTCCCCTTTTTCATTGAGATATGGTCGCAACAGGTACTCCCTTATTTTATACGCTCAGTATGAGTATGACTCCCCTTTTTCATTGAGATATGGTCGCAACAGGTACTCCCTTATCTGTAGCTATGTATCTGACCAGCGCTTCTGCGTCTCTTCCTACTGCGTGTCCTTACCATTTCAATCTTGCTTCCTTCACCTTTCTGTAATTCCTACCCCCCACCAAATCTTCTTCATTCCATAATGTCTCAATCCAGCTATCCTTTATCTCTTCTTTTCACGTCGCCATACTATCTTAGCTCTGTTTCCCTTACCTTCTCAGCAATGTCTACCACCCCACATTTTCTGATCTCTTCATTCCATAATGTATCTGACCTGCTTGCCTTTGATATCTTCTCACATGTCCAAGCCATCTCAACCTTATTTCCCTCACAACCTTCTTTGTAATTTCCACCACCTCCCGTCAGAAAAGAAACGGGTGTATAAGCGAACCTTTCCTTTTTCGTTCTAGAAATTGATTCGCGAAGCAATCCAAATGCGTCCCGAACTGGAGGAACTGATGGAATTCACTGAGGAAAATTTCCTTGACAAGAACTCTGAACAAGGGAAGAGTGCCCGGAACGAAGTGGAAGAATTGCGCCAAAGATTAGAAATTCTCACGGCCGAATTGGATTCTAAGAAAAGTGAAGTGGAGACAGTACAGAAATTACAAGCCAAGTTCCAGGAACAATGTCGACATTTGAACGCTGTGTTGCAAGATACTGAAGTAAAATTGATAAATGGAGAGGATGTTGAACATTTACATGAGCAGGAGCAATCGTTTGAGGTACATTATGATATTTTTGCTATTCGTTATCAGATAAGTACTAATAGAACTATCCAGAAAAATAAAGTTAGTGTAGTTTAGGTTTCCTCCTGTAGTAACACTGGATCAATAAGAGATGATCCTTACTGAACCTCTAGGAAGAACAGTTTAGAATTGATAGAGCTATCCAGTATAAATAAAGTTAGTTCAGTTAACTGGCTGAACCTCTGCGGAGAACAGTTTAGAACTGGCAGAGCTTTCCAACGTAGATAAAATTAGATTAGTGTTGGTTTTATTTTTCACAAGTTAACCTGGTGTTTCTTATTTGCGTAGTTCTTTCAAAGCAACAGCGATAGATACAAAGAAGAATTACTATGCGCTCAACGTTTGGCTGAAACACTGGACCAAAACACGAACGTGGATTCAAGCACACGCGCTGAAGTTGAAGCCAAGTTTAACGGGTTGAAACAGCGATGGGAAAATACTTGTCGTGCAGTTCAGAAACATAAGGAGACTATGGATAATAGGCTGGTGAAATGGCGAGATTTTAAGCGGAAACACAAGGCATTTGTGAGTTGGTTAAGTGAGTTTGAGTCACGGCCTGGTCTACAACCTGTCTCCTCGTCTGATATAACTGAGTTGGAAAGCCAAGTGGAATATGTCGAGGTTAGCATGAGGCTTGTTCTGTTCTGTTCTGTTCTGTTCTGTTCTGTTCTGTTCTGTTCTGTTCTGTTCTGTTCTGTTCTGTTCTGTTCTATACTGTATTATAAACTGTACTGTACTGCCTCTATGTCCACCGGCGCCTATCTGTCTGTTTGTTTGTCTGTCTATTTGTCACATGTCCATTTTCAAAAGCCAGAACTCCGTTTTCAAATGGCAAAACTCAGTTTTCAAATGCCAGAACTCCCTTTTCAAATGCCAAAACTTCGTTTTCAAATGCCAGAACTCAGTTTTCAAATGCCAGAGCTCCGTTTTCAAATGCCAGAACTCCGTTTTCAAATGCCAGAGCTCCGTTTTCAAATACCAGAACTCCGTTTTCAATTACCAGAACTCAGTTTTCAAATGCCAAAACTCAGTTTTCAAATGCCAGAGCTCCGTTTTCAAACGCAGGGCTAAAATATTTTTTTGGCTACCTGCAAAAAAACTAAATATACAGTACAGGCATGCTGTACTCTGTTGTACTGTACTGTACTGTACTGTACTGTACTTTGCTGTGCTGTGCTATTATACTATTCTATACGTACTGTTCCAACTGTGCTCTACTCCGCAATTATTTTCAATTGCTATTTTCCATTAGGCATGCCGTAAAGACCTAGACGCGCACCAAAGTGAATTCGAGCTTCTTCACACAACAACTAAACAATGTTTAACCAGATCAAACGACACCGTGACTGACGCGGTTGAGAAAGAATATCACGAAGCCGAGCAACGCTGGCTACGAGTTTCCGAATGTGTCGCCTCAAATCAACGTACTCTGGAACTAACACTAGGTGATTGGCAGGAATATACCACAGTTATGGAAGACACTATGCATTGGTTGAGACAGACAGAGCTTTATTTAAAAACGTGCAGTGCAGCGAGCTTGTCCGATGTCGAGAAATATTATGAAAGACTGAAGGTATCAAGAAACAGTTTTTGTATGAAATTAATTGACTTTATTTATACGGAATAGCTCTTCGTCTAATCCCACTACAGGAAAAAGCTGTAACCAAACTAACTGTATTTGTACTGGATAGCTTTATCATTTTTAAACTGTTCTTTGTTGAAGTCTACCAAGAGCTAGTCCGTGTTGGTATAGTGTTACAACAGGAGAAACCTAGACTAAACTAACTTTATTTATACTGGCTCTATTAGCTCTAAACTTTTTTCCCTAGAGCTCCAGTAAGGTCTAGTGTTACGACAGGAGAAACCTAAACTAACTTTATTTATACTGGCTCTGTCAGTTCTAAACTTTTCTGACAACCGCATATTAGAGGAACCGAACTCCGTTCACATCATACATACATCAATCGCTGTGTCTCTACCACCCCACAATTAAACCGAACTGTTATATTATAGATGATCATAAATTATCATCTTTTAGGAGTTAAGCACTGAAGTAGAAGAACATCGCCCACACTTGGAACTTTTGACTCAGCGAGGCAAACGTCTATCGCGCATGTCTTCATACGCCAATGCTGACCACATCAACAACCAGGTTTCTGTCATGGGTACCCTATGGACTAACGTGTGCACGTGTTTATCGACCAAGATGCATTGCACGATTGATTCACTTCATTATTTAAGAAAATTTATGGACAATTTTGAAAGCCTGTCAGCGTGGTTACATCGTCTTGAAAATATACTGCGCCGGGATTGGAAACACTTCTATTCTTGTAGTCCTGAGGAGCAACGCGCAAAAATTAAGGTATACGTTTGTTCTATTTTTTACAGCTTTATCGTTGAAGCATTGTTTCTACTTATTCTTTAACTCTCGTAAGGGGGTGTTGGTCGTTGATCAGGCTCCATTCCTACAATACGCCACTCGTGTCACTTTATACACAGTAGTGGGTAACAGCCAGGATTTCTCAATTGAGAAAAACGGGCAATACCCAACAAGGATAACCATCTGAACCATCCTTAATTTGAACCCTAACCCTAATCTAACCCCGACCCTAACCCTAATCCAACCATAATCTGACCCTATTCTAACACTAACCTTGGTCTAAAGCTGACGACGTTTTTTAAATCTAATTTAATCTGGCCCTTTTCATAACACATAACAATAGCACAGAATAAAGATCAGTAACAGAAGAGCCACTCAGCGGTGCAACGTGTCTTCGTTTTTTTATGCAAAAATATGCAGTTTACTGGCCAGAAGGCGGAGCAGCCAGCCAGTACAGCGTGTTTATTGGCCAGAAAATGTCATTGACTGGCTAGGAAAATGGCGGCCAACATGCGTAATGCGACATGCGCGAGGACAGAAACTTCAAAGCTTCCGGCGTAAATGGCCCTTCTGTATGGATCTTTATTCTGTGACAATAGTGCTTTCCAGTAACGATTCAATGATTTGAACCTTTCTGTTTTGAAATTCCCACTGTTCTCCATGCCATCCAGTCATTCATTGTTTTGAATAGCATTTGTACTAAAGGCTTATTATATTATAAAATATTTCAGGCATATCGTAAAGAAATCGAGAGTCACGAACCGCAACGAACGTCCATCAACGATTCAACTTTGCAGCTCATCGACAAAGAGCTTGGGAACGAGTTATTACGTCACATCATGGAACAACGCGATGCGCTCAATGAACGCTGGGAAGCATTATGTATACAGCTAGGTATATCGTACAAGAAAGCTGAACAGACGAAATATTCCCTAAAGTTATTGGAAGCTCAGTTAACTCAACTCAATAAATGGATGTCCAGTGTCGAACGGCAGATTACTGAGATCAGTGGGGAACTGTCATGTGATATAGATGAGCTGAGTCAGCAACTAGTCGATCTCCAGGTAGGATGTAAATAAATTCCTGTCTTAACAAATTGTTGTACGATGTAGTCATCAGTAAGTTAGAATGACTGTTATAAACTAAACGGTTCAAACTCAATTTTAACTTCATTTGTCGCAGACAGCTTTCATTAGGAGTTTTAAACCGTAGCCTTAAATATATGAAAAAGGTTGAGAACATTTTCTTCCATTCTCTAGATAAGTCAAAGAGAAATAAATGCGAGATCTCCGGATGTCATCTCTGTGTTAAGTTTGTGTGTGGTAAGTACGAAAAATACAAAGCGTTTAGTATTGATTTTGAACTCAGATTTTGTTTATACTGCAGATGCTTGAATTAAAACTTATTTCTTTTTCTCTCCAGAGATTACAAAGTTGTGCCTTTCCAGACGAAGATGGCTCGAGTGATTTACAGATTGCTAGGGACAGTTTTGAATCACGTTGGAAAAAGATTTCACGAAATGTAGGACATTTATTAAGACAGAATCAAGATCGTATCACGCTTTGCAAGGAGTTCAGAGATGATTACAAGCAGTTTATAACGTGGTTAAGAGCGTTTGAAAATCAAGTTACAGTTCCTTCAGGACGCTGTGAGGATCTACATGAACTAAGCTTGGAGATTTCTAGACTTCAGGTAAAAGACTGTTAGCTGGAGCTCTAGGGAAACCAGCTTAAAACTCTCCAGTGTAAACACAGTTAGTTTAGTTTGAGTTTCCTCTCGTAATAACACTTGACCAATAAGTGATGTCCCTTACTGGACCTCTAGTTTGAATAGCTTAGACTGATGTAGAGCTACCGAAAGTTGGTTAAGTTAGTTTAATGTACATTCCCTTTTATGACAGGACCTGAAGCGACAAGTAGGAGCAAAAGGTGTCCTCGTGGAGCGTCTGTTGACTCGTGGGAACTGTTTAGTCAACAATTCCACTTCAAGTTCGGCTCAATTAATACGACAAATGATTGCAAAAGTACAAGAACGCTGGTATGACATTACACAAGAACTTGACGACTCTATCACAAAATTTCATCTTTTGTCCAAAGATTTTGTTGAATTTGACGAGGAACGCCGGAATGTAAATGCATGGTTGACAGATATCGAAGTTCGCTTGATTGGATTGGAACAAGTCGGCAATGAAGTAATAAATGAAGAAGAACGCCTTCAGGAACTGAAAGTAAGTGTATCTTAAATGTATGGCTCCAGTGTAGGTAGTATTTTACACCAAGCTGCCATGGTTCGTGACTGAACTATACCTGAAAAAGATATCTCAAACGGGGAGGTCCATTGTAGGTAGTACTCTGTAATAAACTGCCGTGTTTTGTGTCTGAACTACCTGATTAATTTCATCGTTTTCTTTTCATCATTTTCTTAGACATTGCAGCATCATATCAATATGAAATATGGCTCACTAAGTGACCTCACTTCACAAGTAACGAAGCTAAAAGGATGTTGCTCAATCTCAGATTATCGTCTACAACAGCAGAAGGTTGAGGAGTTGAAATTACGATACGAACAGGTACAAAAGCGCTATATAGTGTCCTTACATTTCACCTCTGACTGGGGTACGTTTCATTCCTGAAACATCCAGTTGTCTGTTTATAATTTGCCTCAGTCCCATATGGGAAAAGTGCCTCGAGTTTGATTCTACCAGACACCACCAGCTTTTCTACGAGAACCTCTGTTCCCTCCTGTAGTAGTAACACTAGACCAGTCAAAGTGGTGGCCCTTACTAGACCTCTAGGAAGAACAGTTCAGAGTATAAAAAATGTTACTTAAGATTAGGTTTCCACTGGTAAGAACGTTCGTTCGATAAGGAATAGCCAAACTAAATCCTGGAGATAACAGTTATAGACTGTTAAAGCCTTTCAGTAAGAACAAACGTAGAGCTTATTATTCTTATTTTAGGCACTTCATTACTCCTTAACATTGATGCTCGACCTGGCTGTACCCAGTCCTTTTTCCTCTCCTGACCGTGTCTCGACTAGACTAAATTTCTCCGAAATTACCCCATGAAGATTCCCAGAAGAAACTCAAGAGCCCCAATCAAGACAATAGCTTGAATTTCCAAGAAAAACCCGTTGCGCATGACTGGGGATACAATGACCTCTGGCAAAGTAACGAAAAAGTTGGTTTTGTATACAGAGTAAAATCTATCTTTATAATGTATCTGAGGCTAATCTATCTTTATCTACCTTGGATAGCTCTGTCAATTCAAGGCGTTGTTCCACTCGTACGTGAATCTACACCGGTTGTTCCTTTATTTATTACGAAGAAAGATATGTGCATTTTTATTAAATGTATAAAGACAATCCGTCAGTTTTGATCTAAAATGGTGATAGGGAAAGCAATTCTCGATAGGACCAAAGCTTGTATAATGTTCTATCCTTTGTTAAAAACATGTTAAAATTTTAACACAACTTTGTAAATACATGTACACGTAGGTAGAAAATGACGATAGTTGTTTTAAAACTGAAATGTAAATAATAATCATTATAATCTTGAAACTAGTAACTTATTATGGACATGTATAGTAAAAGCGTACTTAAATAGATATGATATTGAGAGAGATTGTACACATTCGTTTGTATATTATATTATTAATACACTGTAATACACACACCTCAAACAGACAGTAGAAAATGTTAGCTCATATACGTACGTTACAGAGACATATTAATATATTTTTATCTGGTAACTGTTCTCAAACCGAGAAGTTAGTAATATAAATAAAATAGTACTTAAATTATTGAAATTATATGTTTCTGTTGTGTTTAATTAATTGTCTGGTGTGTTTGATTTCCGTACTGGTGCAAGGGTTTTGCTAAGTGGAACCATATAGATCATAGTCGACAGAATATGAAGTTAGGGAACTTCTCGATGCATAAATCTCACACCTTATAGCAAGTCTGCTAACAAGCCGTCAACAAGTTGTGTTCGCACTGCTTGTCCCAAGTTGTCAACAAGTTTGGAACAAGCTGTTAGCAACTTGTAACAAGCTTGATGACATTATCAGACTTGTGGCAAGGTTGTTCTAACAAGTCCGATACAGTCCTGATATAACAATATTGTTACAACCTTGTGTCGTCAACCTTGTAACATTCTTGTAATATCATGATTGTATCAGACTTGTTAGAACAACCTTGTAATGTTGTATTTTTTGTCTTGGTTCATGCAAGAAATTGTTCGGTTCATCGTCATGCACGTGCATGTGTATTGTATTTACACCAGAGCAACCAGTAGCAGTGTGTTGATTACTTGGTTTAATTACTCAGTCGTGATATTAGAAACTTAAATGAACTGTGGTGTCCCACTTACACAAAGTATCTCACAATCTTTTCTTGGTCCCAGTCTTGACTCGGTCATAAACAAAAGGCGGGAAAATTAAATGCCAATTTTTTAAAATGAAAGTTGATTTACATATAATTTCCTTTCAAAAATCACGGCAAAACGTGTTTATTTTCTTGCCTTATTGATGATAATTTAACAAGATTAAAAGGTGAGTAAACAAATTGTTAATTCTTAGCGCTTATTTGGCAAAATAAAGCATGTATTGCTTATAAATGTGAAAATATTTCGCCGCCGTGAGACGACATATAGACCATATATAAAATGAAAGTACATATAAAGTTCGTTTAATACTATATGCATATTATTTGATTGTTTTTACATCTTTTATAACGTAATAATAAGAGTATTTAAATATCTTAAATAGTAATTTACATTTATTTTGAACAAAATGGGGGATATTTTGATTTTTGAAATAAATTCGAAGTTCCATATACCGGGTTTATTGACCTATACAATCAGTAGGTACTTAAATGCCGGTAGTTCTATAAATATAAATATTACCTGCTTCACTGCTTGCATGCTTGGCATTTTCGCGATGGCAGAGGCAAAGCAAGGTGGAATACAGGCGATTTTCAAGTTAAGTGCTCGGCCACAATGTGAAACAGTACAAAAACATGATCAGACCATTGATTTAGAACCAGAAAGCCTCAGTACTCGTGTATATATCGCAGAATGTACGAATTGTCAGCTTGTTTTGAAGAAGAAAGCAGCCAATGTTTTGATTGAAAAATGTCAAGATCTGGTATTGACTATGTCAGCTGAACTAGTGTCTGGAACTCTTGAAGTTCTGAAAAGTTCAAAGATTTCTCTGAAAATTGGCCCTAATGTAAAGGTAAGAGTTTAGTGTGTACTCTGACTGTTTTTCACGTATGCATGGCATATATAACTATATAAGTATTTATAATATCACATAATTTAAAAACTATAAATAGTTAATAAAAACTATAAATATAGTTAATCCTAATCTAGGGGCCTTAATAAAAAGCCTGTCAAGGTTTCTAGCAGGCTCCTAGCCCTTATAATAATATAATATTGTAAATAGCTTTATATATATATATAATATATATATATATATATATATATATATATATATATATATATATATATATATATATATATATATATATATATATATATATATATATATATATATATATATATATAAAAAGACATAAACAACAAATTTCAATCTTAAAATTTTATT